GCGCGCTCGTGGAATAATTGTTAAATAAACAGTCTAACTGAAAGTGATCATAACACAAATACCATTCATTTGTTAGATGAGCACCAATTAATTAATACTGTACTCTAATTAACAAATAAAGAAGCCTGGACTGTGCTCTGTTCTGTTGTTAAATGCTTGGCAAGCAGCTAGATCACACCAAAGAGGTGTCAGTAGAAAGGGTGAAACACAAGATAAAGTCCCTACTTCTTAAAGATTTTTATCTCTGCTCACATTATAATAACATCAATTGTGGCACTGGGCATGTTCACAACCTTATTTGGTTCTTCTGTTGCTACTTGCCAACTCACTTGTTCTGAAATTTCACTTTCAATTAACAAAAAAAAAAAGCTAGATGGAAGTCCAGGAGATGGTCTGACATAGTACAAATTGGAAAATGGTATGACAGCTATACCTCAGCTTTGTGTTTTGTACTCTAATAATGCAAGCTCTTTTCAGTGATGATGGAGCATGTTACATCCAAACTTATATCATAAATAAAATATTTGTATTTATCATATAAAAACTGTCTGTTGAAAACAAGAACCAATCTGTTTGATAACTCAGACTCTTTGGACTGTAATGAATAGATCATTACTTGATGTTTCCAAGTGGATACCAATTTGCCTCTATATATTAATGATACACATATCTCTTAAAGAAAGATTAAAAGTGCTACCCATGCAAAGAATCGCAATATCATCTTTGTATCCCCTAAAACTGTACCTGAAAGTGCTGTTGAACACTGCCATGCACCACACCAAACTTGCCCTTTTTGGTGAATGGAACAGTTTCTCCAATCCAGTGAATGTACACAAATTTAACAGTTTTCTCCACATAACTGTCAACCAACTCTTCTATCCGCACTGTCGGTTAGTACAAAGATAAAATATTAAACATACTGTAGTACAATTAAATAGCCTCTAAAAAAGAAATTGTCCCTGAATTTTTCAAACTAATTTTTGAAATTAATCACCCAATTAACTGGTTTACAGTTTACTGTAACTTAAGCTTGCCTTTGAAAAGCTCTTGCAACCCTCAAAGCCAACCAGACAAAAATCAAGCCTAAGACCTAACAGCTAATTGATTAGTTGAATTTCAAACATTTGAGGCACTTTGCTTGTTCTTAATTTGGGATCTCATTGGCTACTCCAGATATTTTTCTTCACTCTGAATGAGTCATTTTTCTTTGCTCTAAACAGTCATTTAAACATTTCTCTACCTCATTATTAAAGCACTTTGGATTAAAATCAAAAGTGTAAAGTAAAGTCTGTTTTACGAGCCTAGTGGCCCATTAGGCCGGTGCTTAACTCCGGTTTCTGTAGCATGAAGCGACTAGGAGTATTTCTACTCCCCCCTGGATGGGATGCTAGTCCATCGCAGGGTTACCCCCAGCATTAAATTGCCGGTACCCATTTATACACCTGGGTGAAGAGAGGCACTGTGAGAGTAAAGTGTCTTGCCTAAGAACACAACACAATGTCCCGGCCGGGGCTCGAACCCGGACCACTCGATCCGGAGTCGAGCGCACTAACCATGAGGCCACCGCGCCTCCACCGATTCAAGATGACTCTATCGTTATCCTACAGGTCACGTTACCTTGACTCCTGCATTTCGAAGCATCTCAAGCGTGGGACGAACATCAACCTGGAAAATAAAACGGATGGCGATTAGCTTTCGAACACCGGGCAACGAGAGATGAAAGAAAAAACATCAGAATAATTAATCAAATTAAACCTCAAAAAGTGGCACAGCTAGTCAATGATAAATCACGCAATTCTCAATTTAATCCTTGACGTTTCCTATAAGCTTTTACCTGCAGTTTATCTTCGACTCCGGTTAAACAGAGTANAGTAAGTAAAGTCTGTTTACGAGCCTAGTGGCCCATTAGGCCGGTGCTTAACTCCGGTTTCTGTAGCATGAAGCGACTAGGAGTATTTCTACTCCCCCCTGGATGGGATGCTAGTCCATCGCAGGGTTACCCCCAGCATTAAATTGCCGGTACCCATTTATACACCTGGGTGAAGAGAGGCACTGTGAGAGTAAAGTGTCTTGCCTAAGAACACAACACAATGTCCCGGCCGGGGCTCGAACCCGGACCACTCGATCCGGAGTCGAGCGCACTAACCATGAGGCCACCGCGCCTAAAAGTACAACTATTAAATCACGAAAACCTTCTTGTACCATTAGTAAGTAGCAGGCTGCACATTAATGTACACAAATATGTCACGAAGCTTAAACAGATCTGAAGGGCTGAGGATGTGAAAGGTGCTGATTTCAATTAACAGTTTTAATTATTAAATAATTGTTACAAGTTACTAAACTGTACAAAAAAAAACATGTCACTGTTTACCAAGACCATACATGACTTCAGTATCTTGCAGTGCCTCTATCATCTCAGTTGCACCTCCAACACCACTTGCCACATAGTGGACAACATTAGGATTACCTGCCCAATGGCCAGCCAACATCCTTAAAAGAAAAACGGATTTTAAAAGTCACCCTTAATTGTCAATTGTTAGGAGAGAGAATGGAATAACAATGGGACAACATCAGACAGAAAAACAACAGAACAAGAGTAAGAACATAAAATGATGGTTTACAAATTGAAAGGACTCTCCTTATAAAGAGGAAGTCTCAGGAAATCCCCTTTACAAAGGGTTGAGCTGATGTTTTAGAATCTCTAATTGAGCCAACAGTTATATCTAAATAATTATTACTGTGTACAGTACCATACCCAAGGATATAATTATTATTATTAAAGTGATTATTTGAAATCTCAACCTCATTCATTGTTTAAAAATCACTGTCTGGACAGGACTTTGATATTAAATAATCAGTCCTCAATATTTCAAAGTTTTTGTTGAAGCTTTAACTTAATTCAGTTCTCCAAGGAGAAGCATTTCAAATTTTTTGGAAAAAAGAACTATTGATCAGTATTCTAAAGTTACAAAAAATGGGGTTACAATATAGGGCAGTCCTGATAGATAAGGTCATGAACTAGCTGTAGCAATTTGATAAGATCAACATTGATCAGGGCATGCAAATTCAAACTGTGCTACTTGATTGTCCTCGAGTATGTGGACATGCATTCAAAACTTTATTTTTTGCCCATAATTCTTGAATAATATTTCACTTTCAATATGATGGTTTAATATTTTGTCCTCTACCAAAAACCGTACATACACCTGTAAGTCATTTAAAAAGTAAAAACAGTGAAGAAAATAAAAGCAACGTTTCTGACGCAGTGTGATCAAGATGTGAAGTAGAGATTGCTATATTGTCATGCATATATTGTTAAAAAAAAGTCATGTAACTAACGCAATCTCTGATCACAACAAAATGTATTTCAAGGCCAAAGAGCTGGCGGAAATTTTCCGAATGCTTTTCTCAAGTCGCACGCAAAACTGATATAGAACCAAGTTTAAAAATTTTAAGAATTGACGTAGGATGCAAGCAAATTTTATTAAATGTAGCTACATATAAAAATATTTTTTTAACATTAAGGGAAGGGAGTGCACAACACACTTGAGAACTTACCAGTTTGTGGAAGACTCGTCGCTCCTAACATCCAGCATTGCACCTTTAAAGGAACTTTCGTCTTTTATCTCCACTTGTGTTGACATTTCTTAATGCTTAAATGGGGCAAAATAATAAAAAAAAAAAAAAAACTCGTAAACAGACACTAATTTAGGCCGAAAATCTGGTGAATTCTCTACATCGATAACATTCTCTTTAGTCGGAAATTAGAATATGGTTGACCACTGATATATCATCACAATTGTCTTTATAACTAAAATCATCGCCCCTTGAGAGAAACCTATACGACTAAGAAATGGTTGGGTTGCTGAAGCAGCTAGAAAATCAAAACTCACCTGGTTTCCGTGAAGAAGAATTCGAATAATCACCTACAGTTACCGATAACTTTTAGCGACCACTACACAATGAACACGATCTCGGCAGGAGACTGGGACCGGAGTCGACTCCCTCTTAATCTCGCGTGTGACCTTGCAAATTCCTGCGAGCGATGAAAATATAATAAGTTGTCTAGTAGGAAGGATTTTCACTTGAAGAATCGTGCACTTGGGGAGAAAACAATGTGGAGTCTGAGGACTACCTGGTCGTTTTATCTAATGGCCTTTATGGCCGATATTAGGAAAAGAGATCTCGCTATTATTAACAGTCATTCCAGAGTGCACGTTGGATATGAGAGGGTACTTGAAATAGACAACGAGACGTGTACGGTACCTAGTGTACAAGTTACCATAGCGAATTACAAACTTACCGAGACAAGTGTTTGGTTAAATTTATAAAACTTAAACGATGATATAGCCTGAATCGTTGCACATATTTTCAAATATTTTGCAGTACGGTAGCGAACGGAAGAAACCAATATTGTGGCTACTCGACCAGACTTTAAAGGTGAACTTTTGTAAACCTGGCAGGATTTCAACGAAAAATTTGCAAGTCATCCAGAGATTTTGAAAGTGACCGGCTGTTCCTGCAATTGTTGCTTTATACTTTCTCTAGACTATAGAACGTTGATGTCAACTGAGTGCAAACTGAACTGGCTCAAGTTAAGTGAAAGTTCAAAGCTCAGAAACCGTTCAATGGGGTTATATCGTACTTTGAGGCTTTTACTCTTGTCACCGGTATGACATTGACTAGTTTTTTATGTCCAAATGCACAGAAGAGGTGTTTACTTCCAACCAAAAAGAAATTCAGCTTAGCAGCACTTGGTAAATCATTTTTCAAATAAGGGGATTCGTTGTACTCGGGAACTATTACTCACCGGAGTGGGGGTGACTAGTGGTGTGCTGCGAAGCGGTGAGGTAAATGTCCACCAGTAGTCATCAACACTGAGTTAAATAATTGTTTTATAGTATACACATGCATTTCTACAACGAATACAGCATTTTGGGGCACAAATCTCGCGCGAGTCGGTGGATAGCGAAGGATATTCAGATTTTAAGTAGCCAACTTAGGCTCCTTCAACGCTATCCATGGCCATGGCTTTAAAATAAACTAAACGCTGATAACCGGAGTTCATTGAACCATTTAGGACGCAAGAAATGCAATACACTTTTAAGATGTCACATATATTCTCTTTTCCTTAACGAAAGGCACTATACTGGATGATATATAGACCTTCAAAAATGTTACTTTTCAATATCGACTCTGTCAGTTTTGTGTTATTCGGATTTTACACCCTAAACAAATTAGGAATCCATTTTTTGAGAGAGTTGACATCAAAGATGTTTCTTATTTCTTCAATTTTCTTCTTTATTCAATAGCTTAACTGCATCCCTTGGCAAAATGTAACGATTTTCGTTTCTGAGTTTATCAGTAGTAATCAACCAGACCAGTGCCAACGAGTCTGCTTTGATGTAGTAGCAAAGGTAAACTAAATGGAGTAAGTGAAAAGAAGAATCCTTTTACGAAATCAACCCACAGTATCGATAGCATGGGTAGGCAATTTTTGTTTTTGGCTGATCTTTTCGCTTCACATGCCTTTATACCCTCTTTGGGGGAGAGGGAAGTAGAAAGACGCGAAAGAGCTTGTATAAATAGTTACCCATTTAAGCTACCCTGAAATCTAAGTAATACTCAATCTCTCTTCTGAGCTTAGACGAATACAGCTGACACAAAGTCATCTGTTAAATAATCGTCATTTAAGGCGTACGAAGTTAAATCTTAAAGTTTTTCAACAATTTATTAAAAGCATTGAAATAACCTAGTCGACCAACAATTAATTTCGCTAGATGAGGGAAACCGGAGAACTCGAAGGAAAACCCTCAAATTAAGTTTGTTGGATTAAAAAAGTAATTTGTTCAACCTAGATAAATAATGTTTAAATAGAATAATTCGAATTAAATATCAAATTTCCCTAGTTCCGTAAAATCATGCAATTAAAAGGTAATTTGTTCAACCTAGATAAATAATGTTTGAATAGAATAATTCGAATTAAATATCAAATTTCCCTAGTTCCGTAAAATCATGCAATTAAAAGGTGGTGAATACTGCCACACAGGTCCGTAAAAACATCAAACGAGTCTTCTTAATTAACCACCTTTGCAACTTAAATATAAATGTTAAAGTAAATTAATATTACTAAACGTCCCATCTCTACTTGCCTCTAGATATTGATCTTTCATATAGAATTCAGACATTCACGAGCTAAAAGTTAATAAAGAGAACGTTTAGCTCGAATGATAAAGAGAATGCTTAGCTCAAGAATATTGAGTTAGCTATCCAGTTTCCAGACGCCAATAACCCTGGACTTTTGGAGAGGAAACGTCTAGACACAACGTGAAGTTTTAACCAAAGTACTCTTTTGGACAGTTTTTCAGTTAGTCTCACAAATCTGTGGTGTCTACTATAATTTTTATGAACATGGTGTCATCCCGGACATAGGCGTGGTTGTTTAACTCTGACAGAGGGCAGAAGGTGGGACATCCACTTGCGATATTCATTTCTCTTCTTGGCCTCTGAAAAGAGGAGCTATTAGGATCAGGTCGGAATGCGTCAATCACGTGTTCCACATTATCCTGATCCAGCAACATAAAGGTGACCTTCTGTCTAAATGGCCAGCGGAGCATCGCGTCATACTGACCGCGCAAGACCACAAAGAAGATAGAGATGTGGGTTCCTTTGCCAATGCCGTCACCATTTAAATAGATACGCCCACACATCTTATAACCATAACGACTGGTGAAGAAGCAGGGGCTGTAAAATGACACTTGGGCTCCTGACTGTGCATCTCGCCGTCTCCTCGCGAAGTCGGAAATTTTCCACAGTAAGACTCCGTCGTGGCTGGATACTTCTTGTTGTGTCACGTACTCCTCTAAATCGCTCAGGGTGACATTACGCAACGCCAGGGAGTGACTCATGGACTCAAACTGCCTCTGTAACCTGTTAATCGTTTCTTTGGCAGCTTCCAGTGCTCTGGCTAAAGTAGCAACCTGCCGTTGAAGATCTTCATTCTGTCTGTTCCCTTCGATGATGAGAACCTCAAGGTCAGCTGTTTTTGCTGCTTCATTATGAATTCTCCGTGAGAGCTCCATTGTTGATTCTTGACCTGTTACAGATGAATTCGGAATAGGTTTGTTCTGCCCAGCACCACCACTTTCCAACTGGTGTATGCGTTGCTCTTGCTGCAAAAGCTTGGATTTTAATTCTTCATTCTCTTTTAACGCGTGCTCTATTTGTTCTACACATCTCTCCAATTCTTTCTGGGATGGCATGTTTACGTCTTTATGATTAACGTGATTTGGTTCACGAAGGTTGCTCCCTTCCAGAGAGAGAAGTTGCATGACTGTTTGAAAGAGGAGCGTCATATGCACAGCAACATTTTTCACGTCATGAGCCTCTCTATCTTGCAGCTTCATGGCCTGAAAGGCATAAGGTTACAAATCTTTAATGAAAATCAGCAGTGCACAATGTTTCAAAGACACAATTATTAATTAACCAATAAATTCACCTTCGGAGGGTTGCTCTGTAAAATAATTAAATCATTGTCAAACTAAGATGAATTTGACAAATTCAGAGAATACCCCTATGATACAGAAGACTACCGTTCAACATTTATCATTGACAGAGTTCCAAATGTCAACACATTCTAAAAATTGATAAAAATTTGAACCACTCGCTCAATTTTTTTTTCGCTTATTCCAAACACCTTACCTTAGATTCAGGACATCCGATTTGCGACCAAGGACAAGGAACTGTTATCTCTTCACAGTCTCCTTTCAATGGGTCAATATGAGAAGCCATCTAGAAAAAAGAGTCAAAATGTCAAAACAAATCGCAGTTAGCTCATAAATAGCTTAATACTACTGTCAACTCATAAACATCCCGTTCAACTAGAGAGTGCTACATCCATTCAGACTCCGATATTTGCCCTGCAGTGTTGTAGCCCGTCCGTATAAGTACTTCCAGAGTAAATAATATGCACACCTTAACTTACCAAAATGAGCGCGAAATTATGCAGATCACGGGTAACCATTAAGTCATTTCATCTAGAACTCTCGGCCCAAATACAAATGAATATTAATGATGACGCACGGGGCTAATAATGGCGCGCAGATAACGGAATCTGGTGAGTTACCAATTCATGTACATTTTCTTGCCCAGTTCAACTGGGTTTTGATTATGGTAGTTTCATTTGTGATCGTTACAACCCCTACGTTCTGTTGGCTATGAATAATAAGATTAGTATATACCACATAGAGAATAGTCCTTTTTGCGCGCTGATTGGTTACATCGAAAGTAATGAGCAAGTCTAGCAAGTACCATTCACCTCTAAGGGGAGGAGACAAAATCGCGCGTCAAAAGTTTAATTTCCTACCAGTTTTTGGTATCTTGAAAAAAATTAACTAGCTATTTGCTTCTGTGTGGTGTATAATAAATGATTATTGACCACAATGTCGGTAAAAAGTGGTGGATAATTACTTCCAATTTGGTGAATAAATGTTTAGTTTTGGGATAAGCATATTTATAAATGGTTGCGCGTGGTGGTCTGAGTCGTCGTTCCGACAGATCTCCTTTCTCTCAGAAGCATTACTTAATGAGGGAGGCATGCTTTCTGCGGTGGCTGATCACACCTATACGTGAACGGCAATGTCGTTGGCAGTCCGGGCAGACATGGTCAGTGTTTGGCACTGATTGGTTTCGTGCAGCATGTCGGGCTATGCGAGTTTCCTGAAGCAGCTCGATGCGACGACGTTCAAATCTCTCTACGCCAATACGGCAGGCAGTGCGCCATTCTGGAAGGTTAAGAGCTTGTCTCTCGCAGGTTTCAATGGGTAAATCACATGCCTTCAAGTTATATTTCAAGACATCCTTGTACCTCTTGTGCTGACCTCCTCGTGAACGCTGACCACCGACCAACTCCCCGTAGAAGAGTGCCTTTGGAATTCTGTTTTCCTCCATGCGAGTAAGATGTCCAACCCATCGGAGTTGGCCCTTGATGAGCAAAGCTTCAATGCCTTCTATCTCGAAGCGTTCAAGTACAGTAGTGTTTGGTATTCTGTCCATCCAAGAGATGCCACAGATTTTTGGGAGGCATCTGAGATGGAACTGGTCAAGTTTTTTCACATGATGGCGGTACCAGGTCCAAGATTCACTCCCGTACAGGAGCGTGGTTAGCATAACCGTTCTATATACACCAATCTTTGTGCTGAGGCGAATACCATGATCTGACCACAGTCTGTGGTGCAAACGTCCAAAGCTGGCACTTGCTTTGCTAATTCGGGAGGTGATCTCATCATCTACGCAAGCATTCTGTGAGAGAAAGCCGTCCAACTAGCAGAACTTCTGCACAACCTTCAGCTATTTATCGCCGATCTTAATGACAGGATCGCGAGGGGAGCTGCCTCGTTTCGGCTGAAACACCACTTCGGTTTTTATTATGCTGATGGTGAGGCCATAGCGTGATGCTGCTATCGCGAAGTCATTGAGAATGCCCTGCAGCTCGTCCTCAGTGTGAACGATCAGTGTGCAGTCATCTGCAAACAGTAGTTCGCGCAGAAGCAGGAAACACACCTTAGACCGAGCTTTTAGACGCTGGAGATTGAAGATGCCACCGTCGCTTCTGAATCTGATCATAACACCACTGCTGCAGTTCTTGAAGGCACCTTGGAGCATTGCAGAGAAGATGATACACAAGAGGAGTGGAACCATGACACAGCCCTGCTTGGTTCCGTTTGTCACTGTAAAAGGCTTCCGATGTAGTCCCGAGATCAGATACACCTGCCATCATACCATCATGAAATGAGCGAATGATCTTGACTACCCTAGGTGGACAGCCAGCCTTTAGTACAAGCTTCCAAAGTCCCTCGCGACTAACAATGTCAAAAGCTTTGGTGAGTTCGACGAACACCATTAACAGGTCACGGCATTGAAATGGCAGACATGCATATTGATTAAGTAGTACTAACACCCTATCTGATCAAAGTACTCTACTGGCTGATTTTTCTCATCTAAAAATAACAGATGGTAGCTTCTAATAAACCAATGGTTAAAGTACATCTGAGCTTACCTGACCACGAGGAATGTCCTTCCTAGTACACTTTGTGCATTCGATCAGCACTGCAGGGCACTGTGTTTCATGATGTTCCTGTCGTGAGAATAACAGAAAACATCATAGCATTAGACAAAAGTGTTAAAGCAGTACACGTATTACGTACCACCTTTTGATTCTGTCATGATGTTCAGTCTAATCGAAGCTTGTGAGAACTTCGAAAGACGATGATCACTGTTTAATTGGAGCACCTCGAACCTTTAATGTTTTTAACACAAATCTTGTCGAGGATATGGAAAGGGGAGCTTCCAGGTAACGAACTTTCCACTAAGAGAGTTTTGACTACGGCAGATCTCAGCCATCTTTCATGTATTTTGAATTTCAAGATGTCTAGTCATTCAAAGGCAAACGAAAAGAATTAAAGCGATAAAGCAAGACAAAGACCAAGGTGTAACACTGATTCGTAAAAAAATGATTGTCGTAGCGATTGATGTTGTTGTCAGATCAACCCTAGGTTGGTCCTTTTCGGTCAAACGTAATGCTTTCAAATGACAGTGCATATCAGGGCGATTATTCATTTCGATGTACTGGCTAAGGTTAAAGATATCTTTGACGAGAAATGTCCGTTAGAGCTGTGTACATCAGTTAGTTGTTTAACTATTTGGGTGTCACTGCACATACCTTCATAACAGCAAAAGTGACCAGAGCATGGCAGTACTCACATGTTTCCAATCTATACTGGCACCTCTGCTCCAGATGGTCTGCTAGCTGGGCTCTAGTCACCAGTTCGCCGCAATCGGAGTGAACACAAGGTACTTTCACATACTCACAAACAGCTTCATGGGCCTGATGGAAACGTAGCCAAATTAAAAATTTTGTTAAATCGATAACGGGTATGGATCAGCTATGGTCATCGACGTCGACCCTCAGCATTGATACATGACGATAAGGGTTTGGGAGGACAAATGTGTATTTGAAGTAATCGTATCTTGAGTGCAACTGAGTGTCGTAATACCAAGGTAATCACAAAGGCCAGTCAAGACAAAGGAAGATATCACAAAGAGCCAATTAGAACACGAACTTAAAACAAGCAAACTGCCTGCAGCACGTGAAAACGCGGTCGAGAAAGTCCAAATCGGTTTTGACTGGTCGAGAGAATTATCAAGTTTTCTTACAGCAACCACAAATTCATTTATTTAAGGAATGAAAATGGATATCTAACAATTATGCAATCGCTACCCGCAAAACAGCGAAGCAAAGCGAGGCGAGAGGGAAAAAATTAAAGTAAATTCTTAGTAACAATATACACGAACAATAAAATAGCAGTACGATAAGTAACAGATAAGCCAAATTACAAATAGAATAAAATTACACACAAACAAAAAAAAAAAAAACAAAAGCAAATTAAACCAAAAGGATTTTAATTTTTTAAATTGACGTCGACACTCAATGAAAACGGCCAATAGGTGGTTTGCAACCAATCTCTAGAGACACAGGTAACAATGGTGAAAGGAACAAATGCTGGTGGACGAACAAAAGAAGCTAATGAGATATCCATTGTTTACGTCCACCAACATGGCGGCCATGACGTAACGTGCAAACCACCTTTCGCACGATAAGGTTTACCTCTCGTTTTCTCAGTTCATCCTTCCATGCACAACCGTGCTCATGGTTGACGCAGTGAAGCGTCAATGACTGGATTTCTCGCTCAACAAATCGGTCAACAATCGGTCCTGGAAAACCTAGGATACACATACAGACAAGAAAAAGATATTGAAGATGCAGTATCAATCAGAAAAACAGTCACAAATATACAATAAGCGCGCGGTATCGAGCTGCTCTGCGTCAAGTTCTCGTCAGTACGCGGGTACTTTAAGCACTGTCTCTCCCTGATACCTTAGTTCACAATGTTCAAATTCTCATTATCATATTGTTAAAAGTGCAAATTTGATTCTTCAAATCGTGCTTCGGTCTCATTCAGTGGAGAAGCAGGAGATCGTCTCGTTTGATGGAGAAGCAGGCAATTGATGGAGTCGTTTTCCTTCGTTTTCTTGGATCCGGTCTTCGTTCCTAACGGATAAGGTTCGAGAGAGGAGTCGAGCTCATTTTCTAAAAATCGGAATTGAGAAGGTTCTATTGACGGAGAGCCTGGCAGAGGTCAGCTAAGATATCCCTGATTATTCGATACACGATGGCTGATTTGGTAAGAATTAAATTCTAAAGACATTCGAGATATTAAGAGGGCAACTGACCTGTTCTTGATGAATTATTGCATCATCTATGACACATTTCCCAGGTCCCTGACTGAAGATTTTTGAGAATAAAAAAACTTTATCAATTTCATTGTTATATAAATTACTAAATGCATAACTGACTATCGCACAGTCATGCTTTTCACAAAGCAAACTTAATCCAACAGATTTATTAGTTCATGACTTCTGATGACCTACTAAATACTATACACCGATTGCCATAAATCGATTTCAGTCACATTTTCATTGCACATGGTTGGCACAACTGAACGTTATCTATGGGTAAGTACTGAGTCATCGCAAAAATCTATTATCAAATAGAACCTTAAATCTATAATCTACAACATTCACATCAACATACCTTAGCATATCTTCCACACATGCCTTACAATATCTGTGGCCACAAGCTATGGTCTGCAGAGCTTCTTTGAGGAGTTCGTTACATTTAGGACATAGATTCTTTTCGTCAATTCCAGATCGGTCGATGGCAGCCAAGTGGTATCCAGGCATGACAAAAACTTCTGAGAAATTAAAATACAACTAAGATAATCAATTAAGCAAATTTAAACGTGAACAGCATCTCTGAAGTGGCCCAAAACAGAATTGAAGCAATAATGCGTGGTCTTATTATATAAGTTACGACGACATTGCGTCAGAAAGTTTAAAAAAAGCATGGAAGTGCCTTCAACAAGCTGAAATGAAAAAAAAAAAATAATAATGCTGTTGTTGATGCAAAACATTCAAGTTATTGCATTGATTTCCTTTAAGACATTACTACCGCATCCATAATCTTCTATTTCGGGAAATGTCAGCTCAAGGAATTTCAAAAACTCGGCTATACACACTTTGTTTGGTACAGATTTTCCTTTGAAAATTAACTGGTTAAGTGGATAAATTATAAGTAAATGCAGATTACAAAAAAGAAGATAAATGTTATCTCGTGGAAACTGTTTTTAAAAGATTAAGCGTGGTGAGTGATACACAAATGTATGTATACATTGTACATACTGCTACACTGGGGATCGTCGATGAAAACATCTTTATTCCCTTACAAACTGCATACTGACAAGTATGCAGGAAGTGCACGTTAAGCAAAATTTAGAGAATGTCTACTTAAAAAATTGTTTAGTGAAAGGAGTTCCATTTCAACCCATTAGAGCGAGAAAATTAATTTGATATATAACGCATGAGGTAAACATTTATTAATACAAGCTTCGCTTCAGTTATAACGACTTACATAGTCCAAGCAAAAACTTGAGTTAGAAACTCAGATCCCTGGATAATTGTTTGACCGAAATTCTCTACCGCTGTTATCTATGGAGTGGTGCCAAGTTTTCCAATGGTGTCGTTTTTCACAAAAGTATTCTTGCGATAGAAATTGGTTCGAATAAGTAAGAGTACAAATTTGTACTGAACACTTCCTCGGCTCCAATTTACCTCCGAGGCAATTTTGAAGCCGGTTACAGCGGTAGTTTGAAGTTCAGGGAATCCCCGACACTTTTGAACGCTATCGTCATGTTGAGTTCGCATACTCAACTAGGTAAATCTTAAAACTTTTCAAACCTCCTCTCCTGACCGTTCTACGACTTATTAAGACGGCAGATTACAAACGAAAACATACCGTGCATAAGAGAACACGATAACTGATCTTCACTTTCTTTAAACAAATTGGGTCAAATAGGCATTAGCCACTCACGTACGAAATAGTTCCTACGAACTAGTTCAAGTTTTAAATTCCGACGGTGTAGTAATCACTTTACGACGGTGTAATAATCACATTACCTACATGTGCTTTCACTTGATTTCCGTCCTAAGAATTGAGCATCGAGCTCGTAGGTCTGACACTACACAAATGGTGAGCACGATGACCAGCATAGTAATGGATGATTCATTGACAAAAAATGCCCGGACGTTCAATTGTGGGTGTTCATTTGCTCTGCCTTCAACCCTACGACTCCTTTTCACATTTCATACATTTCTTGGCATGAAGGTTTAACCTTAACCTGAGCCACAGCAGTCAAGGAACACAAGGCAGTGACTCCGATGATTTAAAGCTACCTAAAGTTAGTGGTCTCCTCAAAGTAACGTAAAGAACCGCCATCTTGGACGCTTTTGTGAGAAAACTGGGGCGCTATGACGCTATGACGTAAACCTGCCGCTATGACGTAACGAGATACTTATGCAATGATGCAGCGTGGGTATTTTTAGTTGGTAATTTGTTGAATCATCGTGCGTTCACGAAAATTGAGTACAGGTGCTGTACGATCAGCATCGAGTTGCTCAGTAAAAGAACTCGATTTTCCATTTTTTTCCTCGCCTTTGGCTCATTCAAACTACAAAAATGACATTTTTCCAAGACAGTTTTTCAGCCTAATTTGTCATTCAATAGCATCGCTATAAACATTCGAAAATTGTTGGGGGAAAACCCCACGGAGATTTTGATATAAAAATAACTCGTTATAACTTCACCAGTCACGCCACTGCCCATACCCACTCCGGTTGCGGCAGTTGATACTAATTGAAGACATGTGTTGAAAAACTGATTCCACTCTCCGGTTTCGTTCTACTGATGTTGTCTGCTATCGACTTCTTTTTCGCCTGTGAATATGCTGCCAGAGAGAAGGCGAAGGTTTACACAAAATTCGTTTCTCCAATCAATGGTTTTATTCCTTTCGTATTTATGGTTTGTTGTGTGACTGTAGTTCACTGGTAAAGACGTAAAAGTTGGAACAACATCAGTTTAAGGGAGCCTCTCTCGCTTTGATCAAAGAAGCCAGACATGATTGTCTTCGACAACAAGGTTCTTATTCGAGAGTCATTCACAAAGAGAAGCAAAACATGACCCGTGCGGTTACTGATGCCACGATACACCATTAGCTCAATTTGCGACAGCCGACAGGTTTGATATTTATAACTGAGCAAAAATATATAAAACTCACCGTAAAATAGGTAGAAAACTAGTTCCTTTCCCGATGAAAATTAATTTCGTTTCCACGCATGTAGAATCAAGCTCAAATGAGCTAATGAATCAAAAAAATGCGCTGAAAGCCGGCCGGTTTCGCTTGTACGCTCCATGAAAGGTTAGGGTGAGGGCATCATGTGAAAAACATTTGGTAGTCACCTTTGTACTTAGTGCCTCTAAATATATCGACTGATTGATTGAACTTGTTCCTTGTTGAACAAGTTGTTTCTCCAGATGAGCTACCTACGCTTCGAAACCACAGCGACTGCAAATATTGCTGCTCTAAATAAAAGAAAGCCCCTTAATTTACTAACGAGTAGTCACACCATCAGTTAATCAAAGGCAAATTGAAGCTACCTCATGGTATATCTTTATTATTAATTTTGATTAAGTAATGTGTGCTTCGTCTATTTTCCAACAAATAAGGGTCTGACTTGAAATGCGGTTTTGTTAAGGTAGTTTTCCCCACCCTTTTCTATCATCTAATATGTAAAATCCCTACCCTTTTAAAAGGGTGGGGAAAACTACCTTAACAAAACTGCATTTCAAGTCAGACCCTTATTTGTTGGAAAATAGACGAAGCACACATTACTTAACTTGAAAATCAATAATAAAGATATACCATGAGATAGCTCCAATTTGCCTTTGATTAACTGATGGTGTGACTACTCGTTAGTAAATTAAGGGGCTCTGCTAGAAATTGGCACCCCTTAAGGCAGAACCCCACTTGGTTGAAGGCATGGTAGGCCAATATTACAATAATATTAAAATTAATTGTAGCCTAGGGGTGAGGGTGTTGGAAATGAAAAAAAAAGACAGGTGTCACTGAGAGCAGTTGGAAACTTTATCATTGAGCATTCATCACTGTGTTTGAGCTGTTAACCTTCGTTGCCTTGCTAAGAGAAGGGAAAGTCACAGGAGGAAAAGTAGCTCCTTAAATGGTCACATGGGCAAACTGAAAATTCAAATGCAATTGATTGCATTTTGACAGGTCCTTACAGTTTAGTGATTTTGGTAGTATCTGCAAACTATCATTTTCACATATGATTTGTTCAAATTGCAATGCATGCACATGAAGTCAATGACATAATGCTGAAACATTAATGATTGATTACAAGGGGGTGGAAGGGCATCTTCCATGCTCTTTTATGTTGATTCATCCCGTATATAGTTTTGATATATTGTAAATTACTTCTTAAGTCTCCCCAATTAGCAGCAATGCTAAATCTTTGTAGAAACATTAATAAAGTTGATGATGATGATGATGATTGCCTCCTGGTTAGCTCAATTGGTAGAGTGCCGGACTGTTGTGCAGGAGGTTGAGGGTTCAAGCCCCAGCCAGACCAACACTCGGGGTCTTAAAATAACTGAGGAGAATTTGCTGCCTTTCTATAACATCAAGAAATGGATAGATATTCTAGTCTTCTCGGATAAGGAAGAATAATAATAATAATAATAATAATTTACATTTCTAAAGCGCTAAAATTATAAAATATTCTAAAGCGCTTTACAACATTATTAACTACAAATATTAAAATGATAAACGACAAAATATCAAAACAAACTGTAAGCCAGCTTGAATAGATGTGTCTTAAGCTTTGACTTAAAAATCGTTACACTTGGACTGTTTCGAATAAACCATAGGCCCCGTCTCCTGCAGGGTTAGGGGTAGGAGATGTTAATTTCCCACGCATGAGATTACTGTGTGGTGGACATCCTCCCCTGAGGAAGGATGGGTGGGTTTACTGGGCCCGCAGTAATTGGTGCAAGCTGTTGCGGTGTCCCTGCCTGTCGGCGAATCTAATAAATTAAATTTAAAAATGAAATTAAATGATGATGATGACGAGGTTGTCAATAGGGTCTCATCTCCCCTTTCCCAGCTGTTCCTGCACAGATCATCTTTCTTCTCACTGCCTGTTTGCATCATCCTTGCAAGAGCCCTTCACAAGCTAGGCCTTTTTTTGTCCCCAAGTTAATAATTTTTAACAAAGGTGTACTTCAGATACAATTGTAATGTTCATTTGTGTGACTTATTTCTTACAGCTATATCTGACTAAATTAAGATTCATGTTATGAAAAACAATTTCAAACATGTACATGTAGGTTTTTGATTGTTGCTGTCATGTATTATTTATCATGAAATTCTGCATGTCCACAGTACAATTTATAGCATGGCAATATCACATATCTTCATTTAACCATTTCATGATGTTGGTGTGTTAAGTATCCACGTTGTTTATCAATGTCCAGATGTATGTACGTTGACTCAGTGTTAGAGTGTTGATTTAAGTCCCAGAAAATTTAATATATGCTTTTATCTGTACACATATGCATCACAAATGTTCTGCTTGCTGACCAATGCTGAGAGGATAAAAAACTGCATGCTTCACTTATAGTTGTGATATAGTTTATGGTGCTACAATGCAGTTACATATTGTGGTATTAAATAAATATAATGTTCAGGGGTGGTAGATTTGACATATAATAAATGAGTATATCAAATGAGTTTCAGTCTCAACTTAGACTTGGTAACCACATGGCACAATGTGGTGAAGAACAGCTAGTCCTATTGACTTGAATGTGTGTTTAATGTTCATAGTAATTTGACAGTCTTGGTTATGCATCTCTGAAATTAATTATTTTGGCATGTTACAATTTTGAATAAATTTATGTACTAAAAGTGGTTGATGACATTAACTGAAGGCAACTACATTGTACACATTGATACATGGTAGTCAAACCTGTAAAAATAATAAAAACATGCAATTCAAGTCACTGAATAGTTATGGTAATATTATTTTTGTAAATTCATTCAAATTAATTATCGAATTTTTTCTAACTACACACTACAATTGTACAATGTAAAGTTTGTCAATGAGCACCTAATGTTTTTTTGAGCAAAATTAATTGAGATCAAAATACTGTTTTTATTTTTTTTAATTTTCAAAGGAAAAAACAGTAAAAGCTGGTAAATATGGAAACCAAAGTGGCACGAAAAACTGCCTGTATTTAGCAAGATGATGTACGTAAGGGAAAATTTGTGTCATCAGGAGAAATGAAACTGCATGTCCATAGAGTAGGTGTCTATATTAAGATACTGCCTGTAAAGTAACCCTGGTCCTGTCTAGTATATGTGGGCTAAAACTACGCAGTGCAGGACCTCACACAGCGAAGCAAATTGTAGTTTCAAGCCAAATGTAACTCAACGTGGCAAGCATTATTCCTAGTATGCTAACTACCTAGCACAATTTGTTTACTCAGAAGCCAACTTCTCTATTCACTTCTCTTGCAGGAAAATTAAGCCTGGAGGTAACATCCTGGATAAACTGAAAGAGTTTTCTCTTTTGAAATATCATGGAAATCATGCTGGCCATGGTAGCAGATCTTGCTCCAGAATTCCAACTCTTGCACCACAAGATCGCAAATATGTTAATCATCTTCGAAGTGGCGGTCATGATCGTACACTTACTGTTGTGGATTTAGCTGACAAGCCTGAACCGTCTGCTCCTAAAATTATCCCTAAGTGCATGGTAATTAATGCTCGATCTCTCGCTAAACCAGAAGCAGCTTTGGCTCTTCACATAGAGCTCCATTCTAATAATATTGACATCTGCTTTGTCTCTGAAATGTGCCTCAGTGTGAGTTTTCACTGTAAACTTGGACTGGGAATTCCTAAAAATTCCTAGGAATTCCCAACTGAAACAACTCTGGTTCTAAAAACCTAGAAATTCCCAAAAATTCTGCATTTATTGCCAGCAGGACTTGAAATTCCTAGGAATTCTTACGAATTCCAACTCAGAACACCAATGATTTTACTGAAAGACTGTAAATCTAAAAGCTTGCCAGAAATTCCTGGGAATTTTTAGGAATTTCTCTGAATGTTTAAGAATTACTGGGAATTTTAGGAAATCTGAGGCAACTAACATCAAATGAAGATTAACTGCCAACTAAAAGTTCAAGCAGTCAATGAAATTGATTTGCATGCTTAACTCAGTTTTACATGTAAATTATTTGTTACTGTATATTAACATCAACATGTTGTAATGGTAATGGTAAAGGTAAAGTCTGTTTTCAAGCCTCGTGGCCCATTAGGCCAATGCTTAACTCCAGTTTCTGTAGCATGAAGCAACTAGGAGTATTGCTACTCCCCCCTGGATGGGATGCCAGTCCATCACAGGGTTACCCCCAGCATTAAATTGCCAGTACTCATTTAAACACCTGGGTGAAGAGGCACTCTGAGAGTAAAGTGTCTTGCCTATGAAGAACACAACACAAGGTCCCAGCCAGGGCTCGAACCCGGACCACTTGATCCAGAGTCGAGCGCACCAACCACAGGCGGCCCAGGCTCTGTCACAGGTTCTTTCAGAGTAGATTATTATAGAGTTTGTATAGTGGTTTAGTTGGTCTTGCTTTTGAGCTCTGTAAATATAAAGTTGTGTGAAATAATAAAAGAAATGAGGTCTTACCTTCATACAGAGTAGTCTGTGCTGTTCTTGTTGCGATTTGAGGCTGTTTTGCTGTGTTTCAGCTCAATGTCCTACCACCCACTACCACTTATCGCGACAAGAACAGCATTTCTTTTATTATTTCACACAACTTTATATTTACAGAGCTCAGATGCAAGTCCAACTAAACCACTATACAAACTCTATTATAATCCACTGTGACAGAGCCTGGGCCACCTGTGCCCAAACCAACTTCAAAAAATTATCCTCAATACATCCATTTATTTAAAATAGTCCAAATGAATCATAAAATTTGGTTTGACAAGAATTGTGAATAAAATCTGTTGATTCTTTTTCATGAAATGCAATGACACGTGTTATGTTTAGTGCAAGAAATACTATCAGTAAAAAAAGTCTTAAATTGAATCATTTAATTTGGGATGATGGTGCAAATGGTATTTTAACCTTTCTTCCCAGAGTCAGGCTTTGACTTAATTTTATGTGGTTGTAACTTCTTTGGATAAAACTCTTTTGTTTTAAAATTCAAATGTACGCTGTCAAGCAGCATTTTCATGTTAGACTGTTTGTTTTTGTTGATTCTGCAAGTTGAAATTCAAACTAAGATTTCTACTCAATTTTGACTTAAAACTCTTGGGAGTGAAGGGCTTGATTACAGTTAAACTGATTTTTGAATTAAATTCTTGTTGTAACTGTAACAATAAATTGCAAGGAATTTATCCTAAACAGCAGACTAAGCAGCTGTTTGTCTTTTTATATTGGGCCCGCAGCTTGTCAAACGTGACTAAAATAATCCTAAAACCTTTCGCTTACTCAAAGATTTATTTCATTGTAAAGCATAAGCTTAATGAAAGTGTGACATAAAAGTGACCGATTCGATTCTTGGTTTTGATCAAGTACCAAATATCGCAATTTGTACTTGCCACAAACTTTCAAAATCATAGCTTTATAAATGGCCACTCGACCCTTGCACCGGCCAATCGATGTGTGAACTGTTGTCCCTTCATTTAACTCCAAGGCACCAACGACTTGCTTTTCATTTACAACACTCACGCTGTTCTCGTTTCCCCCTTGAAAAACAGTAAAACCCATCGTTAGAGATGTCATCATGAGTAAGCAAAACAGTCGAGAAGTGAAATAACTTGACGCACATGCGATGAAGAATGAAAAATAGATTGTAAAATGTTACTCAACGCAGTCTCTGTAACAGTTCCGAGTTTGTGCGTGGGTGTGCAAAGAGTGCTCATCATTTATTATTAATTTAGGTGGCTGATTGTTAATGGACATTTATCAAGATTCAGATACTTATGCCCCCAGTGGTCTAAAAATTAGGCATGCTTTTGGTACTCTGCCCTGGAACAGTGTTGAGATCAAACTAATTTTCCTCTTTTAAAACAGGGAATTGCAATATGCATATATTATTTGGAGAAGTGTACTAATTTACAAATGTCTTGAGTAGGGTATTGAATTTTGGGAGTGCTATCCCCTCTCCCTCCAAGATAACCACAAAATCTCAGCTGTAATGCTTTCTTTGGGTGCATATCTTTAAGAAAATCTGAGATTGGATTCTTACATGTAACTGAAAGAATCCAAAAATGGATTTTGTGTTTCTTTACTTGAGCAGATTAATCCAAGGCAAACCTATAACATCCCATACAAACCTTTATAAATGTAAAGTGTTGCAGTAGTGAGCTTGGGCTGCCTGTGTCCTGAATTTTTAGTGCAGTTTTACCGTGAACGGTGTGTGACTTTGTATATACATTGGGCGTAATAGCCATCGAATTTCTTTCGGGTACATCAAGCAAGGAATTGTCCATGCGCTATATCGGGTAACGCGACAGAGCTGAATAACGTATACGCATGCGCCAGGTTTTACCGCGGAAACACGGATTTTGAGTCGTTCGCATGGTTGATTTCCTATTCTGTTGCTTCGAGGCGTCGTTTTCCTTGCCGCTTTTCGTTTACAGAACAACCTCCAAAAATTTGGTACACCTCCTAAAAATTTTCAAAAATTCATTTTCTCCTTTAAACCTTTGGAAATAGTAGAGTGCCTTCGACGAAAACTGAGTTCCTCGGTTTTAAAGGTCAGCCCTTATCATTTTCCGCTAATTTCGCTAAATTTTAGACCCAGGACACTTGAGCCCGCGTTGTTGACCGCATACCCGCTGACGTAGCATTTCATTATTCAGCTCTGTCGGGTGACTCTATTTCGAAGGCTTTCGTCGAGGGTCGAACACACAAGTTTATAATACAGCGGTTAACTTTGAAATAGGTCGTGTAAGCTGTAGCACGTGTTCCCCACGAAAAGTTCAAACCCGAAATGTGTAAGATCGTACTGAATAAAGGATAAAGATATACAAAAACTAATGAGAATATTTTCAGTTGTTTGAGCTATTTACAGGTTATCAATGCGCCAATAAACCTAACAGTAACGTTTGAATTTTGGACTGTAACTTCGACTCCTAAGAGTAAATTTTAAGGGAGATTCTCCTTGCAGCGTTGAGTCAATTTTTCACTTACGTAACGCGAAGAACTTGTCAACACTTTAGCGTCAAATAATTCGTGAAATAACGGGAATTTCAGGAATTGTACACAGCCTTGCTTAGTCTTAACCCAGCCCCACACTGGGAAGAATATTCTCTATCATCAATTGACGTCGCTAATCCGCAACGATGTTGTGAAATTAACAAGGGCAGACAAAGTAGCTGGAGGGAGTCTGAGAAATCCACTTTGATGCAACTTGCGTGGAAGTACTGGCCACAACTGTCGCATCCCGGCCAATCTTCTCCATCGTCGTCATGGCACACTATGCAGACGTTGATATTTCTCCTACAGCGGACGGATCAAGTATTTCATTATCATTCACTTAAGTATGTCTTCTTTCTTATTGGGTCAGCTCTCATACTTTGACTCTTAACTCTATATCAGGATCAAACCCAATGCTTGGCAAGATTAAAGGATATGCAGTTTGGAAACAAGCTATGACTTAGGTTACTTACTCGTGGATGTCATCGTAACAACAGCCAAACACCATAGACGTTATTAGTGCACGTTCAGTTGCTATGTCGAAACCTGCATCTACGGAGGACTCTTCGCACAAACATCTAGCAAACTGAAAGAAACGATCGAAACAACAATCAATCATTGGGAAAAATGAGTGAAGAATATGCAATATTCCGTTAAATTCCTTTTAAGGCAGAAATAATTCAGTGGTTGCTAAGGTATATTTAATCGAATGCACTTTCTTCCTAGTTACCTTGTGAGGGTAAATATTTCGTACCTTAACACCTCATGATTTAATGAGAAGAGTGACTTCTGTATTAAATGTCGCGTGTGGGTGCAGAGCGTGCGACAAATGCGAATTCCGCACTTGATAATTCCACTACTAGATAAGTAGGGTTTATTACTGCGAAGAACGCTTTCATACATTTTATGAAAGCGCAGTAAACATATATTACTTTCATATATTTACTGAGTCGTCGCCATCATAACGCATTCTCGTGTCTTAGTCAAAAATTGTCTTCGGTTTTTAAATGTTATCCTTTCGCGGGATTTCGCAATACTCGTACACGCGGGTTTCATAATTTGCCCGCTGACCAAAATTACAGTTTACTCTTACCCTCGACGAACGCCTTCGATAGAGCGTCACCCATTGTCCACGAAGGCAGTCATTTGCTTTAGGGTTCATTCTACGCATGCGCTTACATTGTACTCATGCGCTGTAGTAGAACTGCGTTTTGTGACTGAACGCGAAAAAACAAAAAAAACACAGCCGAAGTTATATCCCGGGCGTTTCCTTCGAAAAGCCCGAGTAATAATAACGAAGGCGAAACCAAACCTCGCTGTTCCTATGGAACCGCGAGGAAAAATTGAAGGGCAGAAAGGGCAAGTTTGCCAAAAGAACAGAAGCCTCGTCTCGTCTGTCTCGTTGCGGATCGAAATATAAAGTCTCTGGAAAACGGGAATTGGCCGAAGATCATAGGGCCCTTCGACGGATGTTATTGATCGTTGACCTTTCAACGCAATTATCTAGCTTCCAATTCTCTGGGCTCAATTCCCGGCCCCATGAACAAAAGGTATATTCGTGCATCCCCTGAGAGGATAGATAAACAGAATAGACCTCTGATATTTCAGTGTTCACTCTTACTGCGTGGTAGATAAATATGAAAATAGATATGGAGGTATCAATATACAAAAGAGTCTACAACTGTCTCATGCAATTAATTTTTTAATTGCTTTACTTCACCAGTTTAACCATAACATACAACAGCAAATACAAGAGTGACAAAACGTATACATGCGCGCGATCAAACGATGCATATTCGGCACAACGGTTACGTTTCTCCCAATATATTTCTCCCAATAAATGAGTATCTTGATCACTTAAGTATCACATTGAGCATCAATCGATTTTTCGGAGATTTTGTTTTTCCAGCACTTCGCCGATATTGCTTGCTCGTCTGCCATTTTGTTTTTGCCGTTTGTCTGCTTCTGGATGGTGGATTAACTTTGGGATCCATGTTTCGACGATGATAAAAATAATGATGCGAACTCATTCTATGTAGAAATAATCGAGAAGAATCGAACTTTCGACAAATGCACGATTTGTGGCCAAAAGTTGTCGAGGAAAGAAAGACTCGAAACCCTGACCTGAGTTGTGTTCACGGCAAAGGTGAGAAATAACACAAGCCATGGCCAATCACAACTC